AGGCCCGAGGGGCACCACAGGGTACTTCGGCCTTACAGGGGCACGCCGCAAATAAATGCAAACTTTGGGGGCATTTCAAAAATTTTCCCAAAAAGAAAACATTACAGAAAAGATAAAGAATAAAAAATATGATATGAACCATATGATATTATACGCGGCGCGTTTCGGTAACCTAAACCCTTGATTCTCACTTCAACATTGTTTAGTAAATTCCGTGCCCTTTCCCAAAAAAAAAAAAAAAAAAAAAAAAAAAAAAAAAAAACTAAACCTTTGATTCTCACTTCAACATGAAGAAGGACGGTCTTGTATGACAAGCCTGCGAAATGGCAGTCGATATAAATATATTATAATTATTATAATTAAACTTTCTCTAATTATAATTGAAGTTTATTAAACATGATTGTACAGCCCATGGCGAAAAAGCCTTGTGTGCATTTATTGGCCATGATCCCCCAAGGATGACACATCAGACTGACTGATCCACAGCGCATGGCGTAAAAGCCTTGTGTGCATTTATTGGCCATGATCCCCCAAGGATGACACATCAGACTGACTGATCCACTCCACACAGCCTCTGGTCCTCAGGCCGTACTCACAAGACGTCTATGGTCTTAAATGTATCTGACCACATTCACCGGCGTACTTGGATGTATCTGACCGCAATTACGTCCATAAATAAGTAAACTTTTGTCCTTAGGCTAGTGTGAGCATGGCCTTAGACTCTTAGTAGATCCTTTGGTAGGAAATGCACCCCAACTCAACCAACGATTATATCGTGACACGTGTCACTTCTCCACACACACACGTCCACCGAGGATGGGCCTCGCTCCAGTCCAGAACACTCAAAAGATGTCTGCAGCTGCTAAACGTCCCAATATACCGCAACTGTTCGATCAAATGTATCTGGTCCATCAGTAGTGCGGGAAGCAATGTATCTGGTCCATCAGTAGTCCCCGATCCAATGTATCTGGTCCGTCAGCAGTCCAGGTACATATAGACTCCAGAGTAGTGGAGCGAGGCCCCATGACTAGACAGAACCGAGAACGCTCAGGTGCTGGGTCTTGTGCACGTGCACCGTAGATCCATGCGTTATGTCGTTTGAGATGAACTCTGAGGGCGTACTCACATTTGCACTGTCATAAAATTGTATCTGACCGCATTTCCGGCAACACCTGGATGAATCTGGCCGCAATTCCGTCCCGAAATAAGTAAAAAAGTCCTAGAGTAGTAGAGTGAACATGCCCTCAAATGCGTACTTAACAGATTAATGCTTTTTTTTTGTTTGTTTTTCAATATAAACGCACAAAATGAATTTGACAGCCTGGCCAGAAGAAAGGGGGTGGGGGGAGGGGAAGGAGATATTCAAATATCCATATCTCGATTTATGCGTGTCATTCCTTGCACAGGGGCCATGGTAGTTAATCTTCTCCGTAGAGCTGTGGCATTCGTGTTGTTCCTTATTGGCAACATTTTGGTCGATTTTTTTTTTTTTTCAAAGAAGAAAAAAAGACGCCTTCCGTACATATCCTGGGTCCCAACAAAAGCCGGCTAGTGGCCAAATGCCTCGCTCCACCATTTCCCAAATCTGCAACGAGAATGAATCTTCTGCTATAACATGGGAAGATACACCGCCACAACTTCGGTCTTTTGTGCATGTGATGAATCGTGGAGCGAGCCCCAAAGCAGAGGCAGAAGATAGAAGCCCCGCCGAGTATCACCGAGTCTCAGTGCATAGTACTCGAACAAGGACTTTCTAAGAATGTATCTGACTGCTTTTCCGCCCCGTCGACGATGTACCTGACCGCAAAGACGTCCAGGGAGCACTTGAAAATGCCATGATCTCGTTACGTTGATGATGATCGCCGAAGAGCGTCCCGCAGTTCCAGCCGATCCAACGGTCAACCTTTCGTGAGCTCGTTGACACAACAGTCAGACCATACAGCTGACATTCCGACTTTTTTTCCTGGATGCACCTGACCGCGATGCTGTCCTTCCGTGGATGCATCTGACTGCAAATACGTCAAGATACCAGTCAAAAAAGCACGCGCAAGAAAGAGTACGCCCTCCGTCACCTTGCGGTACATGATGCCGGGAATGCCCCACAGAGCGAGGTAGACGAAACACAGCCCACCACACCCACCCAGTACGAGGGCATAGTCACGCCAGGACTTGCCTGAATGTATCTGACCGCGATCCCGTCCTCCCCGTGGATGCATCTGACTGCAAATACGTCAAGATACCGGTCGAAAAATCACGCGCAAGAAAGAGTACGCCCTCCGTCACCTTCCGGTACACGACGCCGGGAACGCCCCACAGAGCGAGGTAGACGAAACACAGCCCACCACACCCACCGAGGACGAGGGCATAGTCACGCCAGGACTTTCCTGAATGTATCTGACGCGACTTCCACCATGACCTGGATGTATCTGACCGGGATTACGGCCAGAGCTTAGTTCCAAAAGTGGTATGGGGTACGCTCTGAGTCAAAATCGCCCAGCTCCGCAGCCTCGGCCAACTTGAATACTTGGATAACTTGCTTTGCTTTTATTATTATTTAATATATATATATCGTCAAAAAGAACTGCCCGGTAACCCGTAGGCAGAGAGGGAGAAGAGGACAACAAACGAGGGGCTGTGACAAACTGTTTCGTCGGAGTTTCACCGACAACAGTCTGTAGAATCCCCTCACTGATTACACTGTAAGTGATAATCCACCTTAACCAAAATCAAAGTAGACTATCACTCACCCACACGAGATGGAAAACTCTACAGACTGTGGGTTCACACCCCATCAAAAGCCAGCAAAACATCCAGGAAACAAAGAAAGGTCTGTCACAGCCAAAAAATACACTCCAGACACGCCGCTGGCACTAGAGGCACAGCATGGCCGCGTAGTGACGGCCCCGACCACTGCCGCTCGACCTGACCGGAGAAAACCGTAGCAGGAAGTATATATTATCCGGATTATTACCACTGTCATTATGGTTATGATTAGGAGTTAGGACATAATAAAAAAAAAAAAAGGAGTTAGGACATAATATCCCATAATATTGGAATAAACTTAGAACACACAACTTGACGGAAGAAGAGAGGTAGTGTACACAGATCCCGTTCTGGATTCGCTTCTTTTCTGACGACTATTGGAGGTCTTCCCCCGAAGCACACCGCACCCTGATTATGGCTGCACTTGACCGGAAACAAAGCTTGTATACATTCGTTACAACGTACCCTCACCGGTGCGTTATGCTACATGTAGGGGGACGACAGCAGCACATACCTTTTTGTTTTTATTATGAAAAAACAGTGGCAGTGCATAGAATTGCGCGAACAGACCGGTGATTCGTACAAGCTGCATGTGCCTTTTTGTTTTTATTATGAAAAAAAAAAGGGAAAAGCTGGACGTAATGTTTTCTATCCAACAGTCTGGCAGCGAGCGCGTTAGGTACCACCAAGTACAAGCAGCATGCATGAAGGCAGTAACTACTTCGACCCATGATTCCAGTTAGGGCCTGGTTCCACTGCACTCAAATTGCGAGCTATATATAACCAGGTATGCTTGCTGATTCTGCAGTGGAACGCTATCCCAAGTAATACTTACTTTTAAAAAAAAAAAAAAAAAAAAAAAAAAAAAAAAAAAAAAGTCATACAACTTACTACTTAGTCCCTTTTCCCTTGGTCGGAATTTGTCCTCCTCCTTACATATGCATAAATAAATAAATAAATATAGCTCAGCTATTGAGGATGGTCACGAATGACACCTGCCAACTGGCATGCCAGCCAACGTGCCACCTGAGACTGCTGACAGCTGACAAGTGGCCAGACACTGGCAGACAGCTGGAAGCCTGGAATGAACCGCACAGCAGCTGGCATGGCACCTGACTCCTGGGTGACCTGACAGCTGCAGCAGGAGAAACATCTGTCACTGAGCCATTTGGCAGTGCCTATTGACAGTAGACAGCTGGCACGACACGTGGCAGCCTGCAATCAACCCATCCAAGGATGATGAAACGACGAAAGGCAAAAAGAGGACTTGAAAGAACTGTCTGTCTGACAGTGTTTGTTTTCTTTTCTGTAGACACAGTTGGCCGGGGAGAGCGATAGGCAGACGAGTGAGCAGGGAGGCAGTACTAAGCGCAGAGTCACAAAAGTACTGTGTGTGCATGAATGCCAAATTTGCCAACTATCAGTTTGGACGAGAATGTAGATTTGGGCTGATATGGCTCTCGGCATCAGAACCATACGTGAGACTGACCCGGATCACGACGGAATCTGGCCGTAATCCCGCTCAGATGCGTAGGGGAAAATGCCACCATGACAGCACGGCCCTAAGGCAGAAAGCAGACGGACACTGTCAGGTTGAAATCTGGAAAAGGGGGGAAAGCAGTTTAAGGAGGGAATGGCAATGCTATGGCGGCATAACAACGAAAGAGAACAAGGGAGGGGGGTGGGGAGGAGGACAGAGATTGGTATGAATGAGAGTCTATGGAGGCCCCAGCAACAGGATGCAATAAATAAATGCCGTAGTATTTAACGCCGGAAGGAAGGGAAAAAAAACGAAGAGAAACCAATTTCAAGCAAAGTCGAGATAGCGCAAGCAGCAGTCTTTTTGCGAAGCAGGCAATAGATGAGGATAGAGTGCAGCAAACCCCGCCCACCATATCCCCAAAGCTTGGACACACTACCACAGGCTCCACAGCCACAAGGGCCATCACCACCATCTCGATATCCAGCGTTCCCCTTCATCGTCGCCCGTCGCCATAGCCAAGCTTCCCATCAGATGTAAGAATCCGAAGGCCCAGATTGGGTCCCGACTTGGTCCCTTCCTTCCTTCTACCGGATCACGAACCTGGCCATTGCCGTACGCCAGATTCATTTTCTGGTGTGCCTTTTCTTGCCAGGCCGTCAGATGTACAAATCTAATCTGAAGGCCCAGATTAGGTCCCGAATTTGTCCCCTCCTTCCTTCCTTCCTTCCTTCTACCGGATCACGAACCTGGCCATCCACGTACGCCAGATTCATTTTCTGGTATGCCTTTTCTTGCCCGGCCGTCAGATGTACAAATCTAATCTGAAGGCCCAGATTGGGTCCCGACTTGGCCCCTTCCTTCCTTCTTCTACGGGATCACGAACCTGGCGCTCAAGCTGCGCCAGATTCATTTTCTGGCATGCCTTTTCTTTGCTAAACGGAAGAAGTTTGGGTGCGGAAGTGGTAGGTAGGTAGGTAGTGTGAGGTGAAATTTAGAGGAGAAAAAAAAAAAAAAAAAAAAGGTTTCCCCGTGGGCGCTTTCCACCAATTATCCCTTCTATAAATAATAATTCTATAGAGCTCTGGGAGCCGAAGGAGCATACGACGTCGAGCTCGCTGTGCTCGTCTCAGCCGGCTGGTTCCAGCAATAAGCCGGGACAGGACCGCTATGATGGTGCAAGTGGGCTCCAGCGCGTTCATGCCGGTGCTGGCTGTCGTAACAGACATGCAGGTGGTGTGAGCTGGCACCACTACTTGCGTAGCCAGCCCCGGAGTAATGACCCCCCGGCGGAGCGGCGTAATAAGCGCCCGCAGGCGGAGGCGGAGGCGCATACGCGGCGGGTTCGTATGTAGGTTGGTATGTAGGTACGGCCGGGTTGGTATGTAGGTTGGTATGTAGGTATACAGGAGGGCAGTGAAGGTGTGCCGCCGCTGCAGGTTGAGGCGGCGGCACAATGACAGCGGGCCGGGGCTGAGGCGCCGGAGGCGAAGGCGGAGGCGGAGCGACAATGATAACGGGCCGAGGCTGAGGCGCCGGCGCCGGCGGCGGGGCATGCTGTGGGGAGCCGGGCTTCGTCGCAGGCGGAGTGTAGCTCACCTGCACCTTGAGGTTGCCTACCTGTTTCAACCCCTTCAGCAGTTTCATTTGCGTCTCGTATCCCGACGCCACTCCGGCATCAACCAAGTCTTCTAACGAGAGACTGGCGGTGCCAATGATATAGTTCAGTGAAATCGTGTTGGACTGATACACTTTGAGCTCCATGCGCGTGGCATGCTCCGTTTTGAACTCCAGCCTGTGACCCCATTTCACTCTCCCGCCCTTTTCCTTCCTGCTGATGGTTTGCTCTGTCTGCGCTCCGTACTCCACCACCACGTACGGCTCTAATGTGCCGATGGCTGGCCCTCCACGATAAATCGTTGCCTCGTCCACCGTCAGTTCGAACCTCCCCAACTTCGGCGGCATGGCTGCAGAGCTCGACTCCGCGCACCGCTTCACAGAAAAATTCCCACGAACAGACTCTTACCCCTTGCACCTGCTGTTCTACGGTATCTGCCAGAGACAAAGCACAATCACAGACACACACACACACACACACACACACACACACACAAACACACACTCAATCAATCAATCA